GTGCGGGCTACCGTGCTGAAATGGACATGCTCGTGGGTATTTAGGAGTGCCATCGTAATCTGTTGATGTCGTCAAATATTTTGAAAAAGACAATTATGTCATCAACCAGTTCGAGAAGTAACTTAGACTGTAATATTTGTCCCCAGTCAGACACTGGGAACAGCCAATTTATTATAAATCGTTTGAGGACTTGGAAACCACCTGAGAGAGATGACATTTGTCCGTCTTTTTTGGTTTGGCTTCCCCCCGGGAGGAATTACTGATAAGCAACCCAAGTTGGTAACTAGATGGGATGTATGGGGAAAATATCAAGGGATTCAGAAAGGAGAGAAACTGCTCATTACTCTTCTTATTGACTAGAAGAGTAAAACACGTTGAAAACACCAAAATGGCTCAGTAGTTAAGGCGTGTAGCGACTGACCGGAAGACTGTCGCTCAAAACCATGTCTGGCTCCATGCTTGCTTCTGGCAGTGTACCAGTCCCAGAGATTGTTTCTAGTTGCGATCTACGCCAAAAAGGTTCCACAAGTGACCAACTATTCCCATGAGCGTGGTCAAAAAATAACCAAAAACCAGGTAGACTTGTGGCTACTTCACTGATTTTCTGCTTTTGATTAGTTTGTGTTTTTTGTCAAAACCACACGTGATTCCATGAAAAACCCGGGCAAGGGGTAATATGGCTAACTTCTTGAACCAGTTCAGCTATTCAGCTGTAGCATCCTTTTGGTTCCTCATTGCCATGTTAACAGGAGGAAGCACGATGGCTGAGCTACTGATGGGTTACCAAAGCTTAGGCAGGAAAAGCCTAGTGGCAGAGGTCGGTTTCGAACCACGGGATTTCCGGTCAGTGAATTCGCGCTTTAACCATTAAGCGACCTCGCCCCTTTTGAACCAGACTACCCGAAGACTGAGTTTATGGTTATTTCAAAACTGAAAAACGCTCAGAAAAAAAGTCACTTAGAATTTAATGGAACTAAATATGGAACATGAAGAATCAGTAATAATAATAGCAACCATTAGTACTTGACAGTATCTGAAGTGATACCCTGTAAATTCAAAATCAGAGACGTGCCTTTTGCTTTGGCAATCCGAAGCCTTATCTGTACTGCCGTCTTTGCTAACACCGTAAGGAGCTGACTGCCTACCCTCATTTCCAGTAGGTGACTTTAGAGGGCCAGTCTGTGTCGGATATGGGGCATTTAAGCTGGACAGCTGTCCCGCTGCGCAAAGTTATGGTCCTTATCCCCTTGCAAGTGGATGCCTTTGACTATCACTTACTGTCACTAACGTGAGTATTCCATTTTCAGACATTTGGCTCATTTTACTAGCCACTCAATGGCTGTTACAAACGACCTCGTTATCGAAGGCGAAAACTATGTAGCATTTTTTTATTACGCAAACATAGTTGGTGAGTCGTTTTGGAGGCTTCTACAAATGACAATGCAATACTGCACTGAACGAGTGTGATGCTCCTAATCGATTTTGCATGTCACAGTTGTTTTACTTAGTGCTCTTGTCATACGACAAATCTTGTGATCAACGAGCGCTTGAGCTACCATAATCAGGATTTCAATTTCCAAACTGACAGCCATGAAGTCTAAGTTCTCAACATTTCGTTTACGTTTCTTAACACGGAGTAAAACTGTGATGGCTAACTATACAGCTTAGTTTACTACTTACCATGGATGTCTGAACAATATGTCTGTTGTGTGCGATCTATTGATGACCGTTTTGTACTAGAGACTAGTGGTGCCATTCCCGCATACTCCGAGAGTAGTACACCAAACAAACTACAAACAACTTGACCGGCTGTATTCGTTCAAATCGTGCAAAGAATATCTTTGACCACAGTTAGCACCATCAAACTTCATTCGTTTATTCAGGGAGGACTATTGTATGGTGTGGAATTATCGGTGTAATGAGGTCAATGAGGCAACTCGAACCTACTTTTTTAGTTAACTGGATGATTATCAAATCGCAGCCAAACAGTTGCACGCTTTGACACGGTTACATGACGACGTTTACACATCACACACAAAAGGATCATTTGCATTTCCGGCGACACGATGTACTGTTTATAATGTGGACATCACTCCGTCTACGGTCCAGTGATAGTATCATCTATTTTGAGGCTTATCAGGTAGACAAAATGCTCGAATTTCCATCAGTCCTGCTTCCTAGTGGAGCAAACAATCTATCATATATGGAAAACAGTACAGACGCTGGAATTACGCTAACATCATCTTAGTTCTGGATTAAGCCTTCAACCAGTTTCTAGGGTGATGATATATAAGATGACGTAAGATGTAGTTCCGAACTTATCCGTTAAATCCATAATTTCTTTAATCGAGGTAGGTTATAAATCAGGTGCTTTTACTGAGTATTTCCACTAGTGTCTATCACTTCACAACCTTTATCCAGTCAGCTGTCAGTCTCACATTTCAATAAAATGCTGATCTCATTGAGTCACAAGGTGTACAACATGATCAGTTTGTACTTTATTGCTGCATGTGATGCGGCAACTTGTGATAAGAATAATCCTAAAAAACTTTGGATTCAGCAGCTAATCGGGTGCCATTCTCATCACTATCAAAAACTTGACACCACAGTCTAACGCTGATACTTCACTGCCATGCTATTGGGTACTGCATATCCACTGCCAGTGGATATTGAGCATGTTTACAGTAGATGAATTAATGTTTCACTGGGTTTCCAGGTACCGAGCGTAAGTTCAGAGTAAAGCGTCTAGTGATTCCGCTCGGCAGAATCTGTCTGCGTTCTACCACACTTTCCTCATGTTCTGCGAGGTCGTTTGCTACGATCTGAGTGATACTCACTGGTTTTTAAATGAACTCGACGTGGTCAAGTGCAGCGTCAATAATGTCCCATAAAACTCATCACTTACGAGGTTTTTGTATGCTGATTTGCAAGCAGTGGGGTCAACCAGCCTGTTTTGAATTTGGACTGGTGTCCACTAGACTGGTATTTTCGTACAAAAGGTGAAATAACTGCATCACTGCCTTGTTCCACAATTGCTGACGGGTAAAAACTGGAAATTTAAGTGGAGCCCAAAAAGGACTCACGGCAAGTAAATCCGAGGTCCGAGACATGACTACTCTGGTTTATCCATAAAAACTACCGGCATAATACTTGGGCTGAACCGTAAATAGAGCTCAATAAGGAGGACTGCTATACAGTTTTGTACTACCAGTTTCCAGGCGTTCTGAATCTGTTCTACAGGTTTAAACTATCCGTCACCTTAGGTGGTCAAGAGATTCCGACTATTGTTTCATCGTTTAGTTTGGGTTGCAATTTTGGGGTTTTGCGGGATTGGCATTTCGTTCATAGTCACACCACTCATGTTTGAACGGTCGTGTTTCTCTTCTGGCGTAATTATTCCGGTGAGTCCATACCAAAGAGAAACGCTGCATTTCTGAGTTATCGCTTGGACGTTTGGATGATAAAACACCCGTTCAGACCAATGAATTGATGTTTCAACATCGGTGCTGCGCTGGCTGACCTTATGTGAACTTTAAAAATGTGGATGTAGGTTTTGTGAATTCGGCCACGCAAAATTCGTGGGCGATTTCTTGAGAAAGCACTGGCAAAACTGTTGGGATTCGAAAGGCTACTTACAAAGAATGAAACTTGAATTTACAGAACTGCGTTCTTGGAAGGCCGTTTGATGATGAGATCCATTTCTCTGCTTGAGCACACGAACGCCACTTATAGCTTTCCTGTTTTGCTGTGTTTAACAGCACATACATTCCAATTCTGAGCCCTGACGACACGATGAAGGCAAAGTGGATGTGAGGAGTAAAACTGTACCAGTTGGTTTCAACAACGTCGATTTAGTTCAGAGCAAATGTTCTGAAACGCCTTTTCCTAGTGAACCAGCTAGTTTCGTACCCAAAAGGTTCAGCTTAAGAGTTTTGATTTGCTGCATCATGAAGGCATCCTACTTTCTCATCTGCTTTGCTCAGTTCCAACCACCGTGTCGATAAAACACACGACAACTGCATGGTTTCCCATCTGGTCTAGAAACGAATGAACTCCCAACAACGTTTCTACGGTTATTCCGTACTGTATGGTTTCTGAAGAAGAGAGTCATCTGGGCCCTTCCAGGACTGACACTTTTCAGTTGAAGAAATACGTCCATTTTGTAAACATACAGGATACATGGTCATATTAAAGAAGGACTAGTTTCACTGTGGATCTGAATCAGAGCATTACAGACGAGAGATTGGGTCAATGGAAGTTGGACAGAATTACCGTTGGCCTCAGTATGAGCACTGTGGCATGAAAGGTCACAAGGATGGTGGCGATACTGCCTTCTTAGACATCTACTGGGAAAAATTTGTCGCTACATTTATAAATACTACGGGCGGGACAGACTGTGAGACCATCTCGTAGGTTTTCTACTCTAACATAACTTAGAACGATTTCACTAAATTCCTTAGTAAACCGAATGTATGGTAAATGTACAGAAAATCAGAGTGGAATGTATCGATGGATCTGTTCAACTAACCTATTCTGCCCTCGGTGTTTAGTCTGACCACAAGGGTTTACGAATTTGATAATTTCTGATACCTGCTCGCGTGTTCCTTATCACAATACTGCCGGTGCTCAGCTTAATCCCTATTACCTCGTTCTTTCATGGTCAGGTTATATCAGAATATGCCTGCTTATTGCAACATGCTGGTTTATGCCAAATCGTCACTGGATTGCAGCAAGCTGTTATCTGTTATCCGCAGCACTGGACCTCATTGATGGTACGATTGCCCGTCTTTTCAATCAAAGTCAGTCGTCCCTGCTGATCACCTACTTTCCTTCGTATTAGGCAGTAAACTTGGCGCAATCCTTGACACGTTGGCAGACCGATGCGCAGATATGTGTCTTCTTTCTTGTCTGTGTACCTTCTATGTGGATTACATGTTCGTATTCATGATGATAATGTTGTTGGATATCTCAAGTCACTGGATTCACGTTCACAGGTACGTTGATGCCACTCCGGACATTCGCACGAACCAATTCTTCAGCTACATGGCAGATGCAGGTCGGAGTCACAAAGACATTGATCCCACTTGCCCATACTTGCTACGATTATACTATAAAAACAAGGTAAATGGGTTTGTTCCACCTAATCATCCATTCCACAGATGTTTCTGACCGTGCTAAGTTCAAGTAACGAGACGTTTTTCATACTGCTCTATCTTTGCCATTTCACCTGTGGGCCGAAAGGTAAGCTGGCGTGAACTTCAGCTTGATCATTCTCTTTTCCGGCTGGTAATCAATAAATTTAATGATAGATTTCTGTTGTATGAGGAAAAATAACATTATTTCACGGGAATGGACACCCCACGGATTTGTGCCTGTCTCAGAAACATTCTGTCTTCGGTCTGCAAGGTTAAAATTATTCGGTAGTGCAAGGAACAGTCTCGCGGACCAAGCTGATCCGGTTCTTGAGGTGGTACTCCTTTCAGATTTACTCCTTGAAGATGGCTACTATACTCGACTACTTTGTGAATGATGGCTTCCACATCGTCCTTATCGCGACCTGTTACAATCTGTACCGTTCCAACCCGATATCCCGAGGCTTCCATTAGTATGAAAAACCCAAAGCAATACCACTGATTATTTCATGAAAGATCATTGTTTACGGATACATGTGAGACAAGCAGAACTTTTTGACGCGCCTGTTACAATCTGTACCGTTCCAACCCGAAATCCCGAGGCTTCCACTAGTAAAAAAACCCAAAGCATTACCATTGAACATTTCATGAAAGATCATTGTTTACAGGTACATGTGAGACAAGCAAAACTTTTTGACGCAAACTATGGCTAAGCCTATCAGGAAGTGATTTGTTGAATAAGTTCCTGCATTTTATCTGTACGAAGATAATAAGGAAACAATCGAAACTGACCAGGTGTGGAAAATCCTCGTATGGTATCGCTTATTCCTAGTTTTATCGCATCTAAACAGGCAAATTCACTCAAAAAGATGATGGAAGGGTTGTACACCACGGATTTCAACAAAACTGATTTCTGCCCCGAGGTTTGTAGCAGAGCGGTGGTTTTTCAAATATATTTTTCCTGCTGCGATCGACTGAGCTTCTGGGTGTCTGCGTGGTCGACTCCATTTACAACGACCTGTCCCTGAAAGATTGATAGTGGTGAGGTCGCTACCCGCTTTCTCGAGAGACTGATTCTGTAAGCACTTGGCTGTCGGAATTATGGCCGAATTTTAACTTTGGTGACATCAGCCGACAGTGAAGACATCAAAAATGATGCTAACATACCGGTTGGTCGAAGTTGAGTCAAACAAAATTATTTGACCACTTTCCAAAAAGCGTACCGAAATTCGACAAATAGCACGTAATGGTGATAGAAAGGTTAACTCTCTGTGTACTGAGGTTCGAACGAGTTCTCTGCCAGGGCAAACCGGGTCTTATTCAGCCAGTTTTACCCTCATTCAGTTCCTATTCCTATTTTCTAGTTTGCTTAAATCGTCATCCTAACCATATGTATGATAAGAACTAATGACCCTTGTGGATGTTTATTAATCTGAAAATTTAGTACGGTAATTTCGTTTTGGAAAGGAACACCAACAGGAGCAAACAAGTCGGTTCCCCAGTGCTCAAGATTACCTTCTAAATTATACTTGGATTTTGGGACCTTAGTGTAGTTTAAAGCATAATATGGTATATTCGGTTCTGCCTTCCCTATGATTCGGTCCTTTAGAGAGAGCAGCCCCTCTTTTACCACAACAAACGTCGCCAATACGAATCGATTGCAAGGATCAATACGCAATGAACAATGTCGACAGCTTTTTAAAAGGGAAACTACTCACATGGTTGCTTAAAATTCTCCGACAGCCCACGACCGGTTTCCCTTAATTGAGGCTCAGCATGTAGGTGCAGTCTTCGAGTTTCCGTCAACCTTATGTTCGACTTGAAACCAAAATGCACGAAAGTAGCGAAATACGCTGATTTGCAAACAAATCTGGTTTTGCGAGAGGCTCACCTGGAACCTGAAAACCTCATAAACAAGAGATTCAGCTAAGTTTCAGGCGAGTCTCTCGAAAAAGCAGATTTGTTTGCAAATGGGCGTATCACCTATAAGGCACTTAATTGACTGCAGTGGCACAAAGTTCAAAGCTAATCACACGCGTCCGACTGTTGGCTTTTTATTGACGCTTTGATGATTGTCAGAGGTATGATCTCGCAAACACTTGGCTTGACATGAGCTTAAACCAAATTGAACTGGTTTCGACAATTACACTCATTAGCACATCGATTCGGTTTTCACGGGAGAATAGCATAAACGAGAGATTCAGTTGGTTCTCCTGAGAAAACTAAATAGATTTGCAAATGAGTGTAGTTGTCTTCATGTCGACTGCTGTTCGAATAACAAAATTCTGTGTGTAGCTTTGTAGATCCTGCTTACTGTGGATTTTTATGAACTCAAAACTGTTACTTTTGAAATGGACTAATGGCTTTATAAGACCTTACAAAGTACAATAATTCAGCGATTTCCTGTGTACCGTCAACTTCAATCTGTACACATGACACTAACTCGAGATTGCTATTTGCCACGTCACTGAATGCTTACTTTCAAATTTTCATTGTTAGTTCTTCCGCAAAAGAAGCTTACGTGAAGAATATGACTCATCAGAACCGGATAGTACCAAGGCTCCAAGTCTCTGCTTGATATTAGCATTGGGTTTACAAAAGCCGATATTTTTGTGAACTCAACATTCTGAGAAAAAAAGAATCTTATGGACAGTGTTTCGCAGTCCTGGGTTGGACTTTTGAACATTACTAATTTGGCATACTTATGCCAGGTAAACTTTTGTTCACTGAGTGCCAGATGCTAGGCCGAACCCGTGTTAGCCCGGTGGTTGCCGTCACGCGCAGCTGCTAACTTCGACAAGACGATGTAGTTATGTAATGTCAATTAAACAGTAACACGTTTTGAGCTGTTTCAACGAGCAAAAGAATTCATTGCTGGGACTGAGAACGACGAAGATCTGTGGCGTTCTTAGACGGTGGGTTTTCTGTCATCATCAACCGTGGATTCTCAGTGGAAACTCACTTGCAGACGGTGGGTTTTCTGTCATCATCAACCGCGGATTCTCAGTGGAAACTCACTTGTGATGAACCAACATCATGACAGATATCTGCATCATGATTCCTCGCGTCTGCAACATAGTGAATGCTGTGATTTGGAAGCACTAATGAATCTAGTCCACACAGACTGGCGAACCGGAACTACTCAGTAGGGTTCTACATTACAGAAAACACTGTCACAAACAACAAAAGAGTAGAAAGCTTTCCAAAATGGCCAGGCATAGAGAAGAAAACCCGTTAGTCGCTGTAAGAATCTGCCATGAATATGACGCTTTTGATGAATAACCTATCTCATAGTACACACTTTTTTCTGAATAATTTGTGGGAACCGACACGACAACCAGAGTGCTGTCAAACAACACTTTGTCAATGCTATACTCTCTCTCCGTGAACCAATTTTTTAAAGCTAAACGGGAGCAAACCATCGAATATATGAGCGGGTTCTATTTACGCAGATACTGATGAGATGACTATAATTCGATACACTTTTCAATTGACTTTCTCCTAATAAACGAAAGCTGTCGGCCTTTCTTATAGTTGCCTTTGGTGTCCACTTGTTCCCGCTTCTGGCTATGATAACTGGACCACCGACGTGTTTGAAAATCGTGATCAACGCCCTCCAGTTCTGGAGTGCAGCCAAAAAGTGGCCATTTTGTCGAGAAAGAAAACTGAATAAATGGTGATACTTTGTTGCTTTTATCTTTTCTTTTACCCCAGGGAATCACACATTATTCTTTTTAACTTAATTCGTGAAAAGCCCGATGGCTTTTCACCTATTTCGCTTTTGTATTGCTTCGGATCATCTAGATCAGTTTCAAACCACGCGACATAGAAAGTATTTTCGTATACTCAATAAAAATAATATATTTATTGAACGAAAGTATTACTGTCTGGATTGTCACCTTGTCAGCGACGCTGATAAAATACAAGGAATTTATGTGAAACTCTCCCTAGTTTCCTCCATTACGAACTGGTTATGTGGCTCACTGCTAAGTCACATCCTTCAGGGTTAGGTTTCTCGTAAGAAAGTGGTTTGCTCTAAGGAAATGATCCGAAAGTTTCATTCTGGATATCTCCTTACGAAACCATGGGTCTTGTTTAGCGCAACTGCTCAGCTTCTCTGGCCTTTTTTCATCGTGTTAGTCTCACGACCTAAATTCTTTGCAGGTTGTTTTCTACCTTGAGATGCTCAGTCTCTTGCTATCTTTTTGTCTAGGAAGTGTTGATTGACGGGAAAGTTAGATTGCTTCCTTGTCCACTTGAAAGATTGAGTTTAATTTGGGGTTTACTGCACCCAGTGGCGTAGTAATTATTCTTGTGAACGGAGCAACCTAAACAGATAAATTTTTGGTATCTGGCAATACGGAAGGTGTGAGTCGTATTCGCCATCACAATTAGAAGGAGAAAACAAATCGTGGAAGGTCCGTAACTCGAAATTGCTATTTGCTACGTCACTGAATGCCTACTTCCAAATTTTCATTGTTAGTTCTTCCGCAAAAGAAGCTTACGTGAAGAATATGACTCATCAGAACCGGATAGTACCAAGGCTCCAAGTCTCTGCTTGATATTAGCATTGGGTTTACAAAAGCCGATATTTTTGTGAACTCAACATTCTGAGAAAAAAAGAATCTTATGGACAGTGTTTCGCAGTCCTGGGTTGGACTTTTGAACATTACTAATTTGGCATACTTATGCCAGGTAAACTTTTGTTCATTGAGTGCCAGGTGCTAGGCCGAACCCGTGTGAGCCCGGTGGTTGCCGTCACGCGCAGCTGCTAACTTCGACAAGACGATGTAGTTATGTAATGTCAATTAAACAGTAACACGTTTTGAGCTGTTTCAACGAGCAAAAGAATTCATTGCTGGGACTGAGAACGACGAAGATCTGTGGCGTTCTTAGCCGATGGGTTTTCTGTCATCATCAACCGTGGATTCTCAGTGGAAACTCACTTGCGATGAACCAACATCATGACAGATATCTGCATCATGATTCCTCGCGTCTGCAACATAGTGAATGCTGTGATTTGGAAGCACTAATGAATCTAGTCCACACAGACTGGCGAACCGGAACTACTCAGTAGGGTTCTACATTACAGAAAACACTGCATAATTGTCACAAACAACAAAAGAGTAGAAAGCTTTCCAAAATGGCCAGGCATAGAGAAGAAAACCCGTTAGTCGCTGTAAGAATCTGCCATGAATATGACGCTTTTGATGAATAACCTATCTCATAGTACACACTTTTTTCTGAATAATTTGTGGGAACCGACACGACAACCAGAGTGCTGTCAAACAACACTTTGTCAATGCTATACTCTCTCTCCGTGAACCAATTTTTTAAAGCTAAACGGGAGCAAACCATCGAATATATGAGCGGGTTATGTTTACGCAGATACTGATGAGATGACTATAATTCGATACACTTTTCAATTGACTTTCTCCTAATAAACGAAAGCTGTCGGCCTTTCTTATAGTTGCCTTTGGTGTCCACTTGTTCCCGCTTCTGGCTATGATAACTGGACCACCGACGTGTTTGAAAATCGTGATCAACGCCCTCCAGTTCTGGAGTGCAGCCAAAAAGCTGGCCATTTTGGACGGTCGAGAAAGAAAACTGAATAAATGGTGATACTTTGTTGCTTTTATCTTTTCTTTTACCCCAGGGAATCACACATTATTCTTTTTAACTTAATTCGTGAAAAGCCCGATGGCTTTTCACCTATTTCGCTTTTGTATTGCTTCGGATCATCTAGATCAGTTTCAAACCACGCGACATAAAAAGTATTTTCGTATACTCAATAAAAATAATATATTTATTGAACGAAAGTATTACTGTCTGGATTGTCACCTTGTCAGCGACGCTGATAAAATACAAGGAATTTATGTGGAACTCTCCCTAGTTTCCTCCATTACGAACTGGTTATGTAGCTCACTGCTAAGTCACATCCTTCAGGGTTAGGTTTCTCGTAAGAAAGTGGTTTGCTCTAAGGAAATGATCCGAAAGTTTCATTCTGGATATCTCCTTACGAAACCATGGGTCTTGTTTAGCGCAACTGCTCAGCTTCTCTGGCCTTTTTTCATCGTGTTAGTCTCACGACCTAAATTCTTTGCAGGTTGTTTTCTACCTTGAGATGCTCAGTCTCTTGCTATCTTTTTGTCTAGGAAGTGTTGATTGACGGGAAAGTTAGATTGCTTCCTTGTCCACTTGAAAGATTGAGTTTAATTTGGGGTTTACTGCACCCAGTGGCGTAGTAATTATTCTTGTGAACGGAGCAACCTAAACAGATAAATTTTTGGTATCTGGCAATACGGAAGGTGTGAGTCGTATTCGCCATCACAATTAGAAGGAGAAAACAAATCGTGGAAGGTCCGTATCCATAATTCTGTACCAGAAGGCTCAAAAATTTCATCACAACGGAAGATATCACCGCCTCACGACTCGATATTTGGTTTCCTCACAGAGCGATCTGACGCCCAGCTGGAATGGAAGGTCCGTATCCATAATTCTGTACCAGAAGGCTCAAAAATTTCATCACAACGGAAGATATCACCGCCTCACGACTCTTGGTTTCCTTTGTCAGCGACGCTGATAAAATACAAGGAATTTATGTGGAACTCTCCCTAGTTTCCTCCATTACGAACTGGTTATGTAGCTCACTGCTAAGTCACATCCTTCAGGGTTAGGTTTCTCGTAAGAAAGTGGTTTGCTCTAAGGAAATGATCCGAAAGTTTCATTCTGGATATCTCCTTACGAAACCATGGGTCTTGTTTAGCGCAACTGCTCAGCTTCTCTGGCCTTTTTTCATCGTGTTAGTCTCACGACCTAAATTCTTTGCAGGTTGTTTTCTACCTTGAGATGCTCAGTCTCTTGCTATCTTTTTGTCTAGGAAGTGTTGATTGACGGGAAAGTTAGATTGCTTCCTTGTCCACTTGAAAGATTGAGTTTAATTTGGGGTTTACTGCACCCAGTGGCGTAGTAATTATTCTTGTGAACGGAGCAACCTAAACAGATAAATTTTTGGTATCTGGCAATACGGAAGGGGTGAGTCGTATTCACCATCACTTTAGAAGGAGAAAACAAATCGTGGAAGGTCCGTATCCATAATTCTGTACCAGAAGGCTCAAAAGTTTCATCACAACGGAGGATATCACCGCCTCACGATTCGACATTTGGTTTCCACACAGAGCAATATGACGCCCTTGAAGCTGGATTGGTAGGATGAGAGAGTTAGAAGAGACTCAGTAAGGCACTAAACCACTGAAGATGTTACACAACATTTTTCAGCGGAAAATTCTATTGAAGTTTGAGGGAAGTGGTTCGCAACAGATATAATCCATTATGCAACGTTTCTTCTCACAAAATGAATAGTTCTTGAGGCCTCGTTCGCCCCTTTTTGCAGCTGGCGCATTCCTCTCTGCGGTTATGAGACTGTAAATAAGTGAGCTAACAAACGATCACTATGTCATAATGCTTTAGATATCTGAAGCTGACTGGCTGAACAATGTTGCAAAGTAAGGTACATATACTACCAAGCTTTTTTCTTGCTCGGTATGCTTTTTGCCGGTTCGCTTATTCTCTGTCGGTCAAAAGGCACATTACGCTTTTAGCCTTTAGGGCGATCCACCTGCGATTGGGAGTCGTCGCTTTATCTGGCCCACCGTTCGCGTTTTTGTGTTTTTCTGAATACTGTTTCTGATACTTCTGAGTCGTCTTTGCCTAAGTGGTTAGACAGAAGCCTCGTTTTTCACTCAGTAGATGTGAATGAATGAGTCATCCTTATCAAACCGAAATTTTTCATGTTCTTGGTTTAGTCGAACTAAAACCTCAGCAAATGCATACATCCGTACTTTTATTCGAGAAACTGACCGCCAATACTACTGCTCATATCCGAAGCCTTCTGAACAGTATCGGAACAGAAATACAGCCTTCAGGCGTGAGGTGAGCGCATATATATATATATATATATATATATATATAT